TTTATACTAACAGATAAGGATAAAGAGTCAAAAAGCAAAAAGCTAACATCAATTTAGTGATTCAAATCGATGAAAAGACTTTTTGTACCCTTTAATTCAACAATGATTGTCAGTGATTATAGTGTATGCTTGACATGAACGAGTGAGAAAGGTCTACAAAGAGTTTTGTTAACCCAGACTTGTTGGTGGCTAAAAATACAATAATTGCGCACATGTTGTTTAATATGTGTTAAGTTTGCTATTGTGAAAATTGGACAGAAAATATGACACTTTTGTTCATAAAGGGCTTTTGTGAATCTTCGTGTAACAAAAAGGGATTTCATTTCACATCCCTTCGACTTTAAATTGCCTTAAAAACCTTCAATAGGCAGCATCTGATTGATAATGGCTGATATAAATATATCATATCAACTGATGTTTTTATCTTTTAATCTATCAGAATAATGAAGCCTTTGATGGTTGTGATGTTGATATGCGTGGCTGTTTTACCAGCCATCAAGTCAAAGACCAACAAAACTCCTGTGAGATACGTAAGTACTGTAAAAACCTTTTATCAAAGATATTTTGTAAAAATTTTTGTAAACTGCATGAATTGGTTTTTAATGAATAATCGTACAAGCCAATGATTACAATATATTGGGCTGCGGGTCACAGGACGAGCGACAATTTCCTCAAAAGAGTGTATACTGACTAGACTCGTATTAATTGCTTTGTTCTCAAAGAGTCATCAAATAACAATCTTGACTTTTAAAGAGAAACAAAAATGACAAAACGACAAGAAAAAGCGTTTTTTTGACTAATACAGCTGAAGAGGATAATGTTTTGAACGTTAACAATTCTGCAAAAGTGGATCAGTATATTACCCCCCAAAAACATAAAGAGAATTCAGTAGCGATTTGAGCATAAAAAACGTCAGTTAAAGATGAGTCAGCTTTTAGAGAAAATGACTGTCCTATACGAGATTGAATTTGATTGGCTGCAGAATAATGACGTCATAGAATTTGTTCATCAGCCAATCAAGTTTATCTACGTCGCTAAGGAATTATTTAATCAGTGGATAGTTTTGTACTTTTATTCGATATCTTTAAGTTCGTCTGATATCTTTGAACAGAAGAATCATAGTTAAACAGTCCATTTTTTACACACTTTTTTATCAAGGTGACATATAATTATGATGGACGTGAGTGCAAACGAGGCCCCCGAGGATTCCAAGGATCTCCAGGATCACAAGGACGTCCCGGATCTCCTGGTAGGGAAGGTAAACCCGGTGCTCGTGGACCCCAGGGGTTGAAGGGAGATACTGGTCCAAAAGGAGACAAGGGAGATCGTGGACCAAGAGGTCTGTCATCTCATTCCAACTGGAAGGAATGTTCTTGGAAGAATATC